ACATAAAAAAAAGATAAGCTCAAGTCTTCAGACCCTAACTCTTAGTTAGATACCTAATGGTATCAATGTTCCTTGATATATGAGACGTTTATATAGACACTTTTTTCAGATAAAAGAGCATGCGGTCCACCAGATATCGACCAAATGGCATATGGACAGATACCCGACCAAGGAGTCGTTGTGGTTGTGATACTTTAATTTGATTGACCCCGAATATCGCACTCGTCAGACGAAAGGCAAAAATATGAATAATCTACTTCTAATATACTTCTCGCTAATCTTCTGTGCGGCTGTAGAACTTCTAGGGATGTGCCTGGCGATAAGTGCCGTGTAATGAGTGACAGCGATCTTTGCACATGACAAACCAGAGAATTAATTTTAAATTAAGGTTTCTTAGTGCCAATATTTACTTAATGTGAAACATTTAAAGTTTTCGTAGAAAAAACGATCGAAAAGGTTTTCACCGCCGCGAGAATCGAACCCGCGTCTTAAGGAATCGCGACTGGACGCTTTTCATTTACGAAGACTTCCGTACGGGCAGAAATTTTTTAATTCTAATCCAAAATTTCACTGTTTCCGTCACTGGGATTCGAATTTGTTGCCTACAACTTTTCTGTCCGCTGTACCAGCGACTGCATCATACATCCGCTGCTGTTGTTTGTATCCGAGGCCGCTTGGAACTCAGTTGTTTGTGCCGATGACTCCGTAGCGCAGTTCCCAAGGTATTGGCTTCGGCGTCGGGGGTCGTGGGTTCGATTCCCACACAGAACAACTATATGTGTAACCCACAGACAGTTGTTTCATATCTGGGTGTTTGTCCGTGTGAAATTTTGTTTGTAAAAAGTCCTTACAACACAGGATAATGTTATCCTAAAGTAAGGGCAATGCTTTAAAGAAGAAAAAGAATAAATAATTACATTGTTTGGGGACATCTGATTCTGTTCTCTCAGTCTTCCGGAATATGAAAAGTTTAGAAATTTAAATTGTTTATAGTGCTAATCTTTGCACTTAAGATTGAACATTAAAATATGTAGAAAAAGTGCGAAAAGATTGCCGCCGCTGTGGGAATCGAACCCACGCCTTCGGCATTAATTTTTTTTTTTTTTTTAGAAATTTAAATTTCTAAAAAAAAGGAATGGCGACATCTCTCGTTCGAATTATCGTTGTAAAACGATATTCGAAGTTGTTTGTATGCTGGAAAGGATATAACAATAGATGGCGCCAAGCATTGCCTCAAATGCTAAGAAAACAATGTGGAAGAATGCGTTAAGATTTTCGTCGGTGTGGTAATCAGCCGTTTAGCTCAGTGGCTAGAGCGTCAGGCCGCGAATGCCGAAGACGTGGGTTCGATTCCCACAGCGGCGGCAATCTTTTCGCACTTTTTCTACATATTTCAATATGAAAAGTTTATCAGACACTGAGCAGTAAAATGCATAAGCCCATGACGACCTTTGTTTTGATATCACTTTGAGCGAATCGCAGTTGATTATTAAAGTTGTCTTTAAAATTATAACCTCTAGTGATTCCGATTCTTGAACGGATTCTAAAATTCAGAGTTTATTAAAATAGTATTCTCAAAAGGTAGACAGAGCCTAACGCTGTATGGCTTCTACGTTTTTGAGATGCCGATATTTTCTTAACCGCCAAGACCTCCATTTCTTCCAGAAAATTTCAAATGTTGGCAAAATGAGGTGGCGTTTCATAAAGGAAAAAAATATATTGCCGCCCTTCTCACACCTAGGTGGGGTAGGGACGAATAAGAAACATGTTGTTAGTGATTTGTCAGTTGTTGTCAGTTGTTTATCACGACCGGCTAGGACCTGTGTGACGTCAAGCCTCCTTGGAAATACACCGAGATCCCGAATAAAGATATGGGTCATACGAATACTTGTGCCGAGTGGAAATTGAACCCAAATTTTACTCTCGTGCCTAAGCCGGTTCTACGGTGGTAGGGCCACGTAGCAGGCTCGGCTGTTGCACGAATGGGCAGGCCCGTCCGGATAAGTACCACGACCTCACAGAAGACCAGCGTAAAGTGGAAGTATGACAAATACTTTCGTCGCTTCGCGTTTCGACTGGTGAGTGAGGTAGCCGGAGCCCAATTTTCAAAAGGTTGTCAACGGGTGTAGCATGGGCGGCGGTATTCACTTAACATCAGGTGAGCCGTCTGCTCGTTTGGCAACTTTTCACGTAAAAAAAAGCCTTGGAGGAGCAGGCCAACGAGAAAGAATCAAACATAGTATTTATAGTGCTAATTAATAGAAAAAGTCACAGAAAACTAAATTTGAAAAATTATGTATAAAGTGTTTTCTTTGATTTAATTAACGATGTATAAACGAATCCCTAACAAGGGATTAAATTCCGCATCGCGGTTGATTACGCAAGCAATAAGTCATTGATGACCCATAACACTTTCAAAAACAGCTGGCAAGCTGATTGCCTAAACCGTTGCAACCGTTCACTATAATAGTTGAAATAAAATCCTCAGGATTTTTTATAGGCACTTATGTAGATAAGATAATGCAAAAAATATTTTTGTATGGAGTACGGCAAAAAAAATTACGTCTGTTGTATAGGAGCCCTATAAAAAAAATTATTCTGTTTTTTTTGTATTTGTTGTTGTAGCGGCAACAGAAATACATCATCTGGTAAAATTTCAACTGTCCAACTGTCACGGTTCATGGGATACAGTCTGGTGACAGACGCACAGACAGACAGCGGAGTCTTAGTAATAGGGTCACGTTTTACCCCTTGGGTACGGAACCCTAAAAAGTATTATCGTTGCGTACTATTTAAAGGCGATTGAATATTAAGAAGCTGCTTAATCAATGTATCACCGCTGCCTCCCTCAAAAGCCTGGCACGCATCCGATATCGCAAATCCCTCGTCACCAGATCTCTTCGAGCGGAGATTCGCGGCGGATGCAGCAGATACGTCGCAACGTCCGCCCGTGCCGTTTTACAGACGGAAACACTTCGGACGTCCTGGTCACTGGGACGGAAATATTTGGGAGATTTATTGTGACCATATATATGATTTATGCGGCGGTATTGGCAAACGAACCGTTTTAGACGTATCGTACAACTCGAGAGAGACGTCTGACCGTTTAAATTGTATACATGGTGGCCCAAACTTCAACACCATGCCCGTAATAATCGTTCTTAGTTTGTCTATGAGTTTAGGCTTCACTTATATTCACGCAAAAGTACCCACCGAACTAAATTCGGCGGTATCCGATGAATCACACATACGCCGACCACACCTCAATATAAATTCACGCCGAATACAGCGGCTTTGAAGTGGGCGACGAGAACGACGCGGAAAAGTTACGCAAACGCACCGAAACGGACGCCATTCGCGAAATCCACCCAACAAAGCACATCATGGACACTTGCACTCTCGTTCGTGTATTTAAAACCACTCGATTGTTCAACAACCGAACAGCTAACACGTCGAGGGATGCCCGAAGAAAAGGCCCCCCTTAATCCACCGCTACTCGTAAGCGACGTCCGTGACTCATCATGCCACCCAACTCGAAGCCAATCTCGCCTCTCGCTCTTGCCCATATCGCTGTCCCGCTCTGTGGACTTTTTTTACCTCCATTGAAGAGTTTGCTGTCAAAATAAGGATTATAAAAGCATTTGAAGGGCTTTATGCAAAGCGCGCAGATTAAATACAGTCATTAATACGTACCAAGATATAATCTTTACTAATCGTCTTGACATACTAGTACGATTTTATTAACAAAAAACAAAATCGTCTCTAATTGTTTCACTTATACATTTTCTGTTTGATTTTGAGTAGTCCTCTCATCTATCTCTGGAGTCGAAGGTCCAACACATTGATATGATATCACATGGTAGCCGACCCTAATGAAAAAATAGTTCTTAAAATCGGTACATAAATGGTGGAGTTCTGAGGTAACAAAGACAAAAAATACAACTGAATTGAGAACCTCATCCTTTATTGGAGATGGTTGAAAATTACACGAAAACTCGGTAAAAAATACTTATTGAGATAGTTAAAACAAGCGTGTAACAAGAGTGTGGTCTGGTATCAAATCTGTTACGACAAATTTCCTTGTATCGAACAATTTTTAAGACCATCCATTGAGGATGTAGTAACTACGTACATAATTAAAAGGGCATTTTTTATCAATCATTATCTGTATCTATATATTAATACCTTTAAACGAGCAATTATATATATATATATATATGTATATATATATATATGTGTGTGCGGAGATTCGGCGGAAAAATCGATCTAGCTAGGTTTCATTTTGAGAAAATGTCCTTTTATCCCTGTTTTCAGGGAATGAAAAATATCATTCGAATATGACGGTAAATTTCGCCAAAAAAAAATTTACAATAGCTTGGTAATTGGGCGGCCCCGAAACAGAAGGCTCGCTCGTGAAGGCGGTTCGTGTCACGATAATTTATACACTTACTTTTTTTCCTTTTTTTCCATACAAGATCATTAATTTCTTTATTTTTTTTTTTAAATTCCAAAATACACGATTTACCGAAAAGAAACCCCTCCAGGTACTTATTATTAACTGCGGAACTGACGGTTAAAGCTCGCAGATGAGTTTTGTGTTAAAGTCTATCATGATATTAATGTATTACTGTCCAATCTATCAAGGTAAACGATATTGTTGTTCGGATTTAAATTGTCTTCTACGTCCATTGCAGAAATATTTCAATTGTCAAATTGCTTCAATTGAAGCCAACTGAGATCGGAAATGTAAATAAGGATGACTACAAAGCCTTATAATGTTAATTACCATACTTGTTAATAGTCGGATATAGATTTTGGTCTCCTTTCCTAGCTACATCTTATTTCGGTCAGCTCACTTCATCGGTCATCAACAATTTGATTCTAAATTTGAGCTTTAGACCTTCTTCGCGCTTCTTCAGATGAAAGTCTAAACGAAGATCATCAAACTAAATTAAATCTCTTGTAAACGGTGCTCCACCTTTTGGCGGACCCCGCATCCGATGGCTATCAATGGGCTTGTTCTTCCACCAATTACCATCATTTGGGATGATAGTCGACCACAGACCAGTGACGAGGAAGTGGTATTCTGGTTAAACGCGTCATTACTGCACAACGCCGTCCAGCCCGGCGTCCGCAAAGAGAGAAACAAAACTGACGATGTGAGTGATGACTTAATTTTTAGAACCGCCGCGGCGAAGGGAAACCGGAGCCGGCCGGTTGGAGCACGTGTGGCGCAACGGTTTGAGCGCTCGCCTCGCTAACTGTCGGCAGGCGTGCATGGGGTTCAATCCGAACACTGGGCGAAATTGCGAATTAATGTTGAGAACGTGGTCGTACATTGTGGACTCAAGTTTGTGAGCATTCAGGGATTATTCTAGATTAGGAGTCGAGAAATTTATATGTCCCTGGGACCAGTGCCGGACTAAGCAAGCGCGGGGGCCGTAGCAAATTCTTACAAAAAGCCCTTGACTGCTATGAGTTATTTAGTATAAAGTGGTAAAAAAACAATTCAATACTCTTACTTATTTAATAAGTTTCACTCAAATAATTAAAAATGATTAATTAATAATAATTAATAATAAAAATAAATTAATAGTTAATGGTCCGGCACTGCCTGGAACTGATAAGCTCCAGGCAGTTCCGGACACTTTTTAGTGAAAGTGTAAAAAAAATAATTGCCATTAATTGAAATAATGAACCCCGCTACCCCATTTGCTAGACAAAACTTAAAAGTATTATGAGACCATGGTTATTCCGAGCCCTTTCGTTCAACTGCTTTTTCATCTTATTTTACAACAGTAAATATTTTACTCAGATCAGAAATGAGGAGGTCCGTAGAACAACTAGAGTTACCGACATAGCAGAGCGAGTCAGCAGGCTGAAGTGGCAGTGGGCAGGGCACATAGCTCGAAGAACCGATAGCCGTTGGGGCAAAAAGGTTCTCGAGTGCAGACCACGTGACGGCAAACGCAGCGTAGGAAGGCCTCCCACAAGGTGGACGGACGACCTAGCCAAGATCGCAGGGACGCGTTGGATGCAGGCCGCTAACGACCGGTCGAAGTGGAAGTCAGTGGGGGAGGCCTATGTTCAGCAGTGGACGTCCTACGGCTGATATGATGATGATGATGAAATATTTTACTTAACAACCTCAGGCAAGAAATTTTCATTTAAGCCGTGGAGACATATATTCGTGGTAATGTATAAACTTTTCTATGATTTAAATTATTCTTATTTTATCCCAACTTTTTTTCCAACAGATCCTTTTTTTATCCTTTTTTCTGTACAAAGAACCCGTTTTAGTCCTAGCAACGTGCAGAGGAGGCGTACATATAATTATTAGTAATTAGTGTATAATTACTTACATAGATATTGGACCCGGTCCGGAATGGACAGTTAAGGTCATGCCATCATCGCTAATGATAGCAAAAAATGATGAATTACACTCGAGTAACAATCGCCATTGATACACACTAAAGAGAGATATTCAGATTTCATCAACCACTTAAAATAGAAGTACATAAGTCCGAAAACGACGTCACAGATAATGCAAAGTGGAAACACAAAGAAAGCTGACACCGCCATGTATGATGAATACCCAGGAAGAGAGATAGAATACAGTATTTTTTTTTATAAATAAAGGGCAAATGTGACTTTTATAGTGAAACCGTAAAGGTTTCGTAAGGGAATTCAGATAAATGTACTAAGAAAAAAAAATGATGATTAGTGCAATGATGATTTCATTGATTAATTCATTTGTTTACTGAATGTTTATTCGGTACACTGAGCATTGCTTAAGTAATTCAATTATTTATGAGCTAACACAATAAACAAATCCAACGAACAACCTCAAAGGACGCCGATCGGCTATCTTGACATTAATTTGACACCTGTCAAAATAGCATGCAGTCGCGCCATGATATATTACGACCATTGAGTCACTTACTTATTATACCCGATAAAATTTGGTTTATAATATAAAGTGTACATTCCTTTTCATATATTTAGCAATCTATTAAAATCTTCCATCTAACGGGCCGTAACCGACCATAATTCTATTAGCGATGGTAATAGTTTTCGGTCTAATGAACGCGCAACCTGTCCGTCGTATGTTTACAATATATTACTGAAGTGTTTCATAGTCCATAAAAATAAAAGCGTTAGGCCAACTCTACTAAGCAAAAGCTTTGATCAGTAGAAGCGGCGGCCAGTGTTCAGACAGTTTTTAAAAGCCGTTTGAAAGTCCCTGTTAAAATAGCGATTCTATTTACGCCAACTTTGTATTCGTTGACAAGAATAAGGCAATCAATTAGGAAGGAATGACCATCTGAAAATTCAAATGTCTATTAAAATACACGAATAGCAAGCAGCCGGGAGCCAATTTGTCCAGAGCTATTAAATAAAAACACAGACGCTCCACAAACGTGGACTCTACTCCATTCGACGTTAAAAAAGAATGTTTTCAATCGAGTCGCACGATCCCCGTTTCGGAAACAACCATCACATAAATACATCTACGGCTGCGTTAGTTTCACTAATCATGTATTAAACGCGCCCAAAATTAACTCGAAACGGGCAACCGTGTGAAATGAGATCTGGAATTGACAGCGGCTGCAGTTGGCGCCAAATTTGCTGTCATTCTGACAGGCGAGTATGATTTACGCGGCAAAACAACCGAGATAAAATAAATACGCGACCATTAAGGAGAGACGTATAAAAATACGGTGAATTAATAAAATTTTATATGACGGACCACACAGTGCGATGCCTTATGATTGAAATTTGAGCCGCGCTTTCATTGTTTCGTGTTATCTTTTTAACTTCCGGAACATTACATCGGGAGCATTAAACAAACAAAAGTTGAGTATGAACCACTTACATAATTACTATCCTTTAATTATGTTTAGACGGCTTTAAATGTTTCAGACGCTTCCAATTCAAAATAATAAGTCTTTTTTTTATTCTTTTGCCGCCAGCATCGAGTTTGATGCAATTTGATCCGTGAGCACTAAAACTTCCAATTAACTTTTTAATTAGTCTCGCTCAGACAAAGGGGAAAAAATTGTCAGCCTCTTAAGTTACCATTGACAAATAGTTCGGCCTGATATTTTTTCGGGCGATTTTACACGGTTAAGTTGGAGATAAGTTAACGCTTGACGGAGTAGGCTTAATAGTGCTATTAATAAGAGCCCTCGTTAGATAAATGTTGTCCCATCAAGGAGAAATTTAAGACGATCAATCTTTATAAAAATGTTTTTTTTGTATAACGATATTATAAGCCCCCGTTTTTTGCTGTAGTAATAGCAGACGATTTAAATGACCCAGGTCTCTGAATATTATTAAATAAGACGTGTTCCGTTGTGGACAATATCCCTAATCTAGTTAAATCTCTTTTTCAAGTCCAGTAAAGTATTTCACGCGCATAGTTGCTTTCGTAATGTTCACACGATTTTGTTTCTTTGTAGCGATTTAAAAACGCAGAATTATATTTCTTATTATATAACTGGGTCAGGATTTACTTTTAGAGAAGTAATTAATAAAATTAAAATTAAGATGTTTAAACTACATATACACGTAGTGTTGATCTTTAATCGAATTCTGAGGAGGATTGCAACAGTTTTGTTTTAGATATTTTTAAAAATGTTTTGTAAGGTATATTTTATTTAGTTTATTGCCGAAATGAATGGTGTGGTGGGTGGTGTACCTGCCTCCTGCGTCAGAGGGTGTAGGTTCGATCCCCACTACTGGAAAAATATTGTGTGATGAACATGGTGTTTTTCTAGTGTCTGGGTGTTTATATAATATGTATAATATGTATTTATTTACAAAAGAAAAGTATGTTTAAGTATGTTTATCAGTTATCTAGTACCCATAGTACATTGCTTAGTTTGGGACTAAAAGACCTTGTGTGAAAAATTTGTCCTAATATAATATATTTATAAAAAAAATTCCGAGGGCTATTTAATTGTACGCAATATTGAAAGAATTCATTTTACACTCAACAATTTTAGCAAATTTATTTTTTTATTTAACTTTGTTAAAGAGGTTATTCTACATCCAATATGCTGTCAATAAAAAAATATAAAATTTATTTAGCATAAGTTTCACCTAATCATTTTAAGTATTAAGTATATAATAATAATGTTATGTGTGATATTGGGTTGAATTCTTGCGGTTCAAACAATCATTTAGGCCTAGAGTTAAAGGTTTACGTTTTAAATTCAATTTTAAGACCTTATGTACTTGCAAAGTCTTTGAATTAATTGCATTTAATTGATTATATATGATGTAAATCATAATTATTATACGATAGATATCGGAGTATATATTCCAAAAATATTATAAACTTCTCACATACAAAAAACATTTAATGAAAACAATAAAGACAATAATTAAATATTTTTTTTTATGTGAGTAGGTGGCAAGGGACCTGTCCATTCGGTAAAATTGAGAAGTAAGGCACACAATTGATCAGCTTCATAGCCAGCTTGCGGCTCCGTGAAAATTATTAATTTTAAAACCAGAACCCCAAAACTCTGTTCGTGGTAACAGTAAATAGCCGTCGAAAAAGCCCATATATCTTGCGTTCCGTATGAACACCCTGTATATAAATACGTACTTTTAATATTAACGCATCGCATTAACGATAATAAAATCCAATGCAGATGTCATTGGGGCCGCGTGCCGGAGCGTGGACTAATATCCTCTGTAAAGACCCCAGCAGTGAGACATAATTATATATACTGCCTGATACTTTATCTAATCTACCCTATGTGCACATACTTACGGCTTGCTTAGAAACATGTGTGAAGGTTACATCTTCTATGTGGTATGTTATACTTGTTAAGGTAAGGAAAGGAACAACGGTTCCTCGTTCCCGTACCGAAATGCGGCCGTTTTGGTCCCACGTCGCGCACGCGGTATGACTAATAGCGGCTATCAATCAGACGAACAATCGTCCAAATGATCCGTAGATAAACGGCCGTTTTATAAATACGCCAGTGGACCCACTCGACTAACGTTTTAACCAATTAGGCGACAGCGAGCGAGATTATTAATCGGCGGACTCCATAACTGCGTTAACTTTTACTTTTAGTTTGAAGGGAATGCTAAATCAACGAGCGGATGAGCGCATAGACAACCCAAATGTCATTTGGGTTGTCTATGCGCTGTTGCACGAATGGGCAGGTCCATCCGGGTAAGTACCACGGCCCCTTTGTATTACACTTCTGCGTTTCGCCTGGTTGATTGAGGTAGCCGG